TGAACTATAGCTAAATAACACAGCGGGTTCAACACCTTTATGCCAATTTTAATGCACTTCCACAAAACCAAGATTAAGCACTGAAACTTTCAGACGCATGTTTTCACGATGCGTTAATGCTTTTGTAAACTATTCAGTTAATGACAAAAAGTGAAGTAGATATGGCATTGCCAATCAACAAAATGTACTTGAAAAAAATCCAAATTCCTTCCTCACAAGAGTCTTCATACCAATCGCTAAAGTTAACAAGGCCACCAAAATGATCCGATTATTGTTCTTTTAATAATTCAAGTCATGTTGAGAAAGATTTTAACAAGAAATAATCACTGTGAAATAGGGAAAAGCTCTCGCGATGCAGTACGTTTACTAAGAAATGATCGAAAATGAAATGAATTTACCTCATTTATCAATTATGCTAAAACTTTTCATCTATAAAACCGTTTAAAAATATCACGTAGTGAAATACGCAGGAATCCTTTAGCTTGAATGACAATATCATAGAACTAGTTCTATTTATTTAATTATTCATTAAAATTCTCATTCAACAGCGGGAAACCCGCCACTTACTTAAGAAAACTTCAGTAAGAAAAATACAATTTACTAGATTAAAACAATTATCAAATTAAACAATCTTAGACATTTTGTCAGTAAAGCTTTTAAAATTATCAAAAAATATATCAATATTAGGCCTATTATCTTTATCAACACAAACATTATAAAGAGCTACAAATACGGGACAAGAAACCCTTATAGTTACATTGACGCGACAAAACGGAACATTCAACAGATTACATTTAGAAAGTCGGGTGCGACAGCCAACAGCTCTAACATAAATTAATAACGAAGACACTAAATCACAGTCAAACCCAGATAATTTTATACAAAAACTGAGGACCGAACAACGAAGCATGTGCCCACTAAAGTAGGATGAAAGATGGCATCTCGGAAAGTGCTAAGGCCCTGTCTAGATTATCAAATTATATTTTACAAAAACATGCGACATTCCTAAATATAGTCATGATCACATCACATTATAGTCACATCATGACTATATATGGGCATACACCGGTTTTTTTTGTCAAATACAATTTAGTAATACAGTATTTGGACAGAACTTTAGATTTGGAGTGAGACAAGGTGGCAACTTGTTTCCATCTCTTCAATCTTTATAGATAAGAAGATATTGGAAACTGAAAAGGAATGAATATAAATTGTGGGAACATAAACAAGGTATCCCGATACTTTCACTTAAACAATTTAACTATTCTACCAGATCTAGTTCTACATTTCAAAGGCACCATTATCACCACTAGCATTAAAACCTTTCTTTTTGTGTATGCTTCCTGATAAAAATTTTTGATAAAGCCCTCATTCTTGAACTTTTAAACTTTTTTGGATAGTTACCAACTTCTATTGACTTATTTTATGGCGACCCAACTCATAACCCTCCATAAAATGTTTAAAATCATTTATAATTATAAGAGGGTTTTATATTTTACATTTAACAAAGCTTGGAATGGGAATAGAATGCTGTGCTCAATGAAACCAGACAACTAGCTAGGCGGGGATTTGACTGAAAGGATTAAATTACTGATCTCTATGATAGCTGGATTGCTCATTGGCCATTCACTATACAGGAACAACTGAAGCCACCGACGACATGCAAGAGCACAAGCGTTCACTCTAGACAAGTTTTTGTTTGCATTTGTTTAAATTATTGTTGGAAATAACGATTCTCTCAGTATAGGCCTAAGTTCTAAGAAATGATTTTTTTCACACCCTCTAACCAATCAACGTGCTTGTTTGTGCGGTTTCAAAAGTGCAAGCGATGTCGCGTTGTTGATGATCGTCACGACGGTTCAAAAGTTTTGTGCTGTGATGACGTATTTTTGACGTTTTTGGGTTCCCCAACATGGCGTCGGTGGCTTAACTAAAACCAGCCAATGAACAATCCAGTCATTAAAGTAAAGATCATTGGATTGGTCACATTTTGGAAAAAATGTTTTATTTAAAAATAATAAGGTATAAAATACATAGCCTATGAAGTAACTCAAAAACATTATATTTTCAATTATATTTGAAAGTTAATTTTGCTATTCTTTGGTGATAGATAATGAATACAGTACCGGTATGAGTTAAAAAATTATTAAAACTGTTAATCAACATAGCAACCGTTACTACTGGATATTGAATTTCATGTTTTTATATGAAACTTCAGTAGGACCAATAAATGTTGAAGAATATCATTTAATTATATCAGTAGGTTTATGAATAATTTGTATATCCATCATCTCGTTATCATGTGGGATATCATAAAAAGAACATTCCAAAATAAACTTAAATTGCAGTACAACATATATTTTGCCACCATAGAAAAGAAGACACGATTTTCCGAATTGATAAATACTTAAGAAAAAACTTCAGATGAACTTTTATATAAAAAACATCCTTTAATGTTAGGGTGCATCTTGACTTTAAAGAAATCAAAATGTAAATATTTCGCAGTATGAACCAGGTTGCTGGTTAGGATTCTTGCCTTCCAATCCCAGGGTTCTGGGTCAAATTTCTGTCAATGTTTACATTTTTGTTTTTCTTACAACCAAAAACAACTCTAATTATTAGTACTCATAATAAGATTTAGTTTACTACTTAAAGCATCTTGACTGTATGTTTGTTTTTGAAAGGGATTGCCACCTATGAGCAGGACAGTCCTTAGCCCATGTGTCTAAATAATATAACAAATCTACGACATCAGCGTTAATGGCCGTGGCAGTATCGTAGTATTGTTGTTTGTTCATATATATATATATATATATTCTTTATTTGGAAACGACACTTTTACCACAGTGGCACTCGTACGTAATCATAAAAGAGACACAGATATTTACGAAGCTCAGTTACCACACAGGCGACTCTAAAAGCATATAGGCCTTATGAACTAGAACTCACCTTTTACCGAAACAACTTAGAAACGTCATTGCACATTGAGAATAGCCAACAATTAGAAAAGAGAAGCTTTATGACAAACAACAAACATCTCGGTTAGAAGCTCGTTATGCAATTCTTAAATGAAAGGCATAGTCCTGTCATTTAGTAGACAACGGGAAATTTAACTTGTTTGTACAGACTTATACCTGCATGGTACAGATAACTATACCATCGAGTCGAAATAAGTAGACATTGCGAATACCATGCTGTTGTATTAGACAGAATAAAATAAACACAGCATATCTTGCATTCATATCCATCGTATTCGTCCATCTTCATAAACATAGAAACCCATGTTGATCTAACGTGCTTTATTTTCGTATTCTTGTATCAGATGTCGAGAAGGTAACACCATTTTTGGAACTGTATTTTCAGATAAAATACGCCACGGGGCAGTTTAAAGGTCCCTTTTATTACAACGCTCTGGCAATGGTTGGTTGTCATCATTGTTTATTATTTTTGAAAAGGTGAAAATATATAAGCATAATATGCAGCGTGCGTTAAAGATAATGTTTTCTCCTTTCGCAAATTACTAAAACAAACTTTGAATATTGTATATGTACGTCTAGTCATTCCAAAAGTAAGCATCACTGAGAAAGCTAAGCTCTGGATTAAATTTGAAAGGGTTCCCAAAGGACGATTTTGCCATCTAGGTTTCATGAAATTCGCCATAAATAGATTTACTCTCCGAACAAATTAATATTCATGAAAAACCAGACAAATAATAAAGTTTGCGCACTAAAGTTTGCGTTTTGGTTTAGCTTTAACAAATCAGTAATAATAAGGTTGTATGTACATCGTCATTTGCTGTGACTTTTACAATTCATTTTATAAATTAGGCTTATAAATGATAGTAATAATAACAATTATTGTCGGCAATAATAATAATAACTATAAATAATAATAATAAAAATAGTAATAATAATAATAATAATAATAATAATAATAAATGAGAAAATGAGGTCATATTTCCTAAAAAAAATGTTTCGACTTTAGTTATCATCAGGAATGATAATAATATTATTGATAATGATGATAATAATATTATTTAAAAAAAATAAAATTTACTCCTGTATACTACATGCATTTAAAAAAAATGAAAGAAATCACAAGATTAAAATACAGTACCACAGACGTTAAGTCACCATATTTATTAAATACCAATTTAAGTTTTTATAGTTTGTTATAAAAGAAACTATGATGTGTCTAGAGGCTCGGTAGTGTACTTCGAATTACTGTAAGACGTGTTTGTATTATTATTATTATTATCACATCATATTTATAATTATTATAGAGGCCTGGCACACATGACCTATTATAGAGGCCTGGCACACATGACCTATTAGAGTGACATCGCTGTTCCTTCTACTTTTAATTATTTATTGTATTTTTAAATTGTCACACCATATCGAGGGTAAATCATTTGAGTCTATTTAGAGCGAAACAGCGGCACGCAAACGCAAAAGACAAATTGCAACATATTAAAATTCCTTGTATTCCTGACCGCGCTGCGATTATGTGATAATGGTGGCCTACCTGTCGATCGGCAGATACTGTAATAATTCTCGCTTTCTAATAAATAAATAAAAAAAAACTATGGTGCGACAATAAATATTCTGACCAATCAGCGACTTCCGTCATCCTTCGCTAAGCAAGCAGGCAGCAAAACAAACAGCGAACGTTGCGTGGGTGACGGTTATGGTAGCATGGACTGTAAAAATGTGCAAGTGAATGTTTTGCCGCTGTCGCGTTCCGCCTTCTGTCGCGCTCTGTGATAGGCCTTTTAGTGGTGTTGATCATTTGGCACCGTCGATCATCTCCTAATTAGACTTGAGATGTGGAGGGTTTTTTTTTATTGGCTGTGAGATGCTGCGAGAAAGATTGAAGAGAACTTAATGCATATTATTACAATCTTTACTTTTTTCCTGTTTAATTTTCTATGTAATTTTATTTTATTAGTATGCCTAATTTAAACAATGTAAGTGATAATATAAAAGAAGTACAATGTATACCTTCCGCGGCGCCTGCCATTGGGTGACGAATTACACGATCGACTTCCATCCATTGAAATACTGTCCACCTTCAAATTATCAATCCCCAAGTGGTCAACCTTCAAGTGGTCAACCTTTAAGTGGTCAATCTTATTTCCTGTAAAAAGTAAAGCAATGCATAAATAAAAAGTAATAGAAAGCAAATGATAGAAGAAAATAAGTAAATAGTAATTTGGCAGAGCGGGAACGGTTTGCATTTGCAAAACGGTATTTTATCTGCATTGTTTCTCCACCCAGGAGTATAAATGGGTACCAAGTGTGGTTGCCTGCACCAGGGTTGCCAGATAGTCGACAGGCTTCACGGCCAAACACACGCCATCTCACGGCCAAATTCGGCCAAACTTTTTTTCAATATCGGCCAA